CACTGGAAGAGGCTGCCCAGGGGGGTTGTGGAGTCTCCTCTGGAGATATTCAAAGCCTGCCTGGATGAAGTCCTGCTTTAGCAGGAGGGTTGGACTAGATGATCTCCGGAGGTCCCTTCCAACCCTTGCCATTCTGTGATTTTAAAAACCAGACCAATATTCTCAGGAATGCTTAGAAAGACATTCAGAATAGAGTAACATAGACAGATTACCCAAATCCCACAGCCAGGAACAATTCACTAAATAGCTAGGGTCAAACTCCCCTTTGCTCAGAGGGCCTGCAGCAGTTTGCATTGCTTAGCCTTATTCAAGTCTTCAAAAACAGAGCTCACACTAAAATATATTAAATGGCTGCAAGGCAAACAAATACAATTGAGGTCACATAAGGAACAGAGCTGCCAAATAAGGTAATTCCTTGTCCATAAAGTATTTTCCCAAGAATTACAGAGTTTTGGTACAGCAGGGTGAATTTAGGGTACACTAACCACAGAAAGCTCTTATTTCCAGAAGCATTGTCAAAATGCATTTTTTGAAGACCATTTACGCTTTAGGATTCCATCATTTGTTTGTGTTTTTTTTTTTTTTTTAAAGCAGAGTGCATGCAAATTGCTTGCAGCACTTCTATTAGGGGGATTATTTCCACCGCCTATTCTTGGGTAGCTGACTTGTAATGTTTTAACGTGCGAGCAGAAGGATCAGTAGCTTTAACCCATCTTGGCATCCAGTAGTGGGGCAGCCATCCGCTTTGCCCTGAGTAGTGCTTTTCAAAGATCTGGCGGTAGTAATAACTTTCTTTCGTTTTAGGAGGATTGAAAGGGTATTTCTCCGCTGCCTTTTCCAGCAGAAGGTCATCAACCTATAGACGTAAGCAAAACTCAAGTTAAGCTGCAAATACATTCAACTTTTACAAGCCAATTTCCTGCAAGTTAAAGACATACAAGGGTTCACCAACCACTGAACACCTATAGGTTTCAAAAAAAAAAAGTCTAATCCAGAGGCAGAGGTTTCCGACGGGTGAATTTTTGTTATAGGCTCCCTTGATCTTTATGAATACATAACTACATTTCCAGTACTCTTAGTATTTCTCTCTGCATTATACGTGAAGCCCATTTCTCTCTGGGTTACAATCACCTTGTTAGTAAGCTCACAAAAACTTCTTTCCTATCGTTCTCTTTGCTGTGAATCAACCGGAACAACTTAAAGCAGTCTTTTTGCCATGTAAGTGGCTTCCTGGGTTTCTTTTCAACTCACAGAGAGCTGTTGACTCTGCTTGTGTAACCAAGCTCTTAGCAACAAAAGACCTGGGATGCAGAGGCAAAGACACCTGCAGTTGCCAAGTTGGCTAAGAAAGGGAGGATGAGTAGTTTGCACCAGTTGAGGCAATTTCTAAAGCAGCTAGCTTCCACTGCCAACATGCTAACTTCTCGCAAACATGAGATAAATTTGCCCCTACTACACCAACACAGGCTCAGTACAGGCAGCACAACGCTGTTGCCTGACACAACTACTTTCTTGCCTGTGGACATAGAGAAAGAAAATGGGAAACAAGCAGTTGATGGTAGGACAGACAAGCACCCGTTCACAGGCCAGACTACACATATTTCTGTAGAACAGAGCTCTGGTGCATATTGGGTGTTATTCCTTCCTCTTGATCATCATACTACCTCTGTACACCAGAGATGATTATCCTTTGTCCAAAGCCAAAACACTAAGTCTTCATTGATTAGCAATGCAAGCAGAGACATTAAAAAGCCATAGGGCTTAGCTAGGCATGGCTGGGAAAAATGAATGACATAAACAAGAAAGGACATTATAAAGTCATTACGCTGTTACTCAGCTGCAGAGTAAGTTCGTGCAAGTGCCTTCCGCTGAAGCAGCTGCTTTGCATGTAACACTGAAATTGTGTTTGCCGACACACAATCTAATTTACAATCCAGATACTTAAATGATGTTCATTTCCTTACACAGTCATTTCTGTCAGGCTCTAGCATTTTTTTGTATCTAGGATTTCAAATGCCTTTAACCAACTCAGATATCTAGAAGACTGTTGATTAAAGTTTATCTTGTTCCTACACCATGAAGCTCCAGCTGCTGTCACACCCAGACTTATTCTCCCAGCTACGCATGTGAGCTGCCTCCCCTTGGCAGCCATATCTAATACACCTAAATGTGAAAGAAAAGGTGGGGAGGGGGAAGGAAAAAAAAAAAAAAAAAAAAAAGCCACTCTCTATCATTTATCAGCAGTCCTGGACAACAGGGGAGGTCCTAGGTGACTGGAGGTTGGCAAATGTGAGGCCTATCTTCAAGAAGGGCCGGAAGGAGAATCCGGGGAACTACAGACCTGTCAGCCTGACCCCAGTACTGGGGAAGATTATGGAGAGGTTCATCTTGAGTGTGCTCACCAGGCA